GTGCTATCCATGATTGATGCCTTCTCATCCAGCTGTCTGACAATCCGATCAGTCTGTCAGAGAGCAGCAAGCCATAGGATTTAAAAGGATAGGCTTTCAAATGCTTTTTAAATGATGACAAGAGATACTTTTAAATAGCTGCCGCTGAAGTTCAGTTCCAGGAGCCCCGTTTCACACCAGCCCAGGCACAATAAAAAAAAAACGTTATCCCTATCATGTGTGCAGCCAGTACAAGTGTGCTGTAATTGGGTGACTGTAAAAGTTTTTTTAATTACCGCAATAATAGCAAGCCTTAACAATGTTGGCCGAATTCTGGAAGTTAGCTGTGTAAATCAGGCTTACATTACATGTAATTCTTAGGTAACAAGATTATCTCTATATCAGATTTTAAAAAAACACAATCTTTGTTTTTAAAACTATTGCAATTGTTACTTATTTATTATTTCCTTTTTAAAAAGGTCTGCAAAAAAATGGATAACTATTGTGTGCCATATGGATGTTCTGGCCGAGGGTCATAAGGGTTATAACAAACAATGCAATGTATATTCAACCTGATAATACTTCACAGTAACTTGGGACGATTTACAAAATAATTTAATTAATTAGAAATCGAATACTCTTTGGTTCTATTCAGTCACGAAAGCTTCAAATCTAGAATAGAAATCGAATGTTATAGGGAGCTGCCACGCTGACATTTGACATATTAAGCATCATTTTGTCAGAATGCACATATTGCCCCGGTGATAATATAATTTTCACGCCTCCCTTAACTGCGTAACTGCAAAGTACACAGGGAGAATCCGATAATCTTGCACCCTAATTAACGTCAAGCCAACTCGCATAGGGGACAGTGGTCGCGGTGTTGTGCATAAGCGCCTCACCTGCGCTATGGTAACGTCAACCCTCTAGCGACGTCTTAAAACAAATGTGGCGGCACAGACCAGTGGCGGTTGATGGCCACGTGTCCAGTAACGAAATTCCCCAGGTCATGCATGCTACAGTGAACAGACAAGTCTAAATTTACATGGGGACTGCAGCTACAACCTGGCTCGCGGTAAGACAGCTCGTGTCGCCACGGGGCTTGCCAAATACGCAAACAAATCCCCGGTGCAGCAGTGTAATAGGTATTACAGTATACACCAGGCCTGCATTCTATCAGGATGTTAACATCTCCCGAGTGCTAGCAATATGGAAACTGCATGTACATTAAGTCAAAGTCAGAAGGTGCTAGCACTTACATCGTGCAATACATACTGTACTGTATTCGCATAACAAAATATTGCACTATAATATGACATGTATTTTTTATTGTATATAACTGATTATTGTTGGCTCAAACATTCAATTATAATTCCTAATTATTTGAAGCAACGAAAAGGGCACGGTGTCCTTCAACATTAAAACCCTTTAAGGGAAATTGGTCAAATACTAATCTCTGAAATACTGTGAAGAATTTGAGGCTATAATTGGAGAAAAATATTCAAATTACCTGCGGTGCAGTATTATAATTTGTAAGAGAAAAATGTGTTTTTAAATCTGAATAACTTGAACACTTTTTTATTAACGTGTCAGTAATTAGCCCACGTGTCAGCAGCATTTGCCAGACATCAAAGAGTACGATTTTAAAGTATAATTCTGTAGTTTAACACGTAGGTTTTCGCGACCAATATCATCCATAAGTGACCTAACCCAAAAGAAACCTATATTATGGATAATTCTGTAGTACTTAAAATACTGTAAGGAAAGAGCTTGATGTAAAGTGCCATTAACAACAATACTGTATTTCATCAAGAATATAAAATTGCCAGCAAAAATTGTCCCAAAAAAATGAGGTCGCAGTTCCCACAATTATAATTCGCAGCAACACTCACGTAGAAATTACAAAGTATTTGCAATTGTTTACAGCGGATTACAAGGGCTTCATGAACCATGCCGCAGCTTCTCATTTCGGAGCGGTAAAGATAGCTATCATCCTATCATTCGTTCCTGAGTTTTTTTTCATTCGTTGTTGCATTTTAGTTTGTCTGGTCCTTTTTTTCTCCACAATAACGATGGTCGTCAGTGTTTGCCCCGCGGCTCGGACGCTTTCATCCGTTAAGTCAGAGCGTGCCTTCTCACAACACCGAGGCCTGACAAGAGGCTGCTGTTAAAGTTTGACTCGCCAAATCGGATTAATTAGTCACCTTCTAAACCACTTGGCACTTAGTCGGGGGTGATGGATAAAACACGGTGACTCGATGCCGAAGGGACGTGTTGCGAGATTTCCCCCACCCTGGGTGCGTGGTGTGCTGTGTGCAAGGGCGCATTCCTGCTCTAGGAGGGGTCGGTAGCGAAAGAGAACAGACCTGAATGTCGATTGAGACGGCCTAACGCTTGAGCTAACATATCAACTATCTGGGTGGAGTAGAGCCCTGGCAACATGCTGTTTATTATTATTTTTTTAAACCCATGCGATGGGTTCTCTAGGGTGCAATTTTTAAGGGCCACAACCACACGCATCCCCACACCAAGACGTTCTTTCAGCGCGTGTTGAAATCATGTCAAGGTCTTTGATGAAGAGCATACCTTAATAAGGGTGTTTCCCATATTCTTGGTTCTTTCGGTAAAGTCACGTAGAAGGGAAATAATAAAAAAAATATATAAAACAATACAATTCTCACTTGTTTTATATATTTTTTATTTCCCTTCTACGTGACTTTACCGAAAGAACCAAGAATATGAATCCCTGCAGTCACGAAAGCTTTAAATCAGGGTTTTTTCCCTTTTTTCTGGCAACAAAACTGAAACCTTATTACAAGGATTCATGTCTGCATTAACCACAATACTTGCAGTCAAAATGCAAACAAAAATATACTATGATAATATATCCATTGTCCTTGAAACTGGTACTGGCAAAGGAGGTCTAATGATGAAGAGCATACCTGTTTTGTGCCAATATATTAATCAGACCTGTAGCAAAAGCAGCCCGCATTGTGTTGTTGAAGGCCTCTGAAAGCAAGTGTCATCACTGTATGTGCCTAATTTAAAAGGTTGATGCCACCTTGGTTTTTACAAACTCTTGAAATACCGTCAAGTGTACGCGTTCATTCTATAAACATTGCAAATTACCCTTAGCTGTATACTTTAATGGGATATTCACCGTTGAAGGCAAGCCGAGTAAACAACAATCTACCAAATGACTTACAATAAGCTTTTGGCTCGTGCCAGTGAACTTACATATTTGAATGCACCGCAAAGCAATGGTTAGATGCAAAGGAGAGTCAAGTGCAGTCGATAACTCCGTGGAATGCAGCCTCCGACTACACACACACTCTCTGTTCAGCAGGAGGTGGCCTGCCTGTGTTGCCCATCTCTCTCTCTGTTGGGTTTCATGGTGGACACCGACGAGACGTGCCGCTCTATGCCCACCACCACCCCCACCTTGCACCCCCAGTGCCCGCGCGGCTCGCACTGGCCCCGGTTTTGCTTGGCTTCGTGCCACCTCTAGGCAAGTCGCCACCACCCACCCCAGCCTAGCTCTGCCCAACATCTGCCATGACATCTCTCCCCCCCCACCCCCGAGCACGAGTGAACGTCGCTGGAAAAACAACTTTTTCCTCCCAACATTGTTTTACACACACACACAATGAGGCCCCCCCCCCCTTCTCTGTTACAACAATAACTCCCGTTTGTTTCCCTTTTATTCGGAAAGTTTCTCCCCCCCCTCCCTCGTTCACATCCCCCCCCCCCCCCCCCCCCCCCCCCATTCGTTCAACTCATTTAATTTGAAGAAAAAACTATTATCTTGCCGAGAATCCCAGAGACAGTAGGACGCATACAAATTACATTCAAACTCGTATGTAACATCTGACAGTCCACTTGTATCTCACGTTCCAAGAACAGTACAGGAATTGTACGCAGCTACAAAAAGTTAAATGTGCACGTATAAGTTAAAGTCTGCAGGTGTCAGAGAATGAACCTTTGTCCTGCAACGAATGGCATTCCCATTGCAAGGTGGCTTGACAATGAAAAGCAATTTCCTTCAAGTTTACTGTTAACATGGGAACGGATAGGCAAACAACTTTTACCCGACAGTTGAGCATTGTTAACCAATAAAAGCAAAAACACCCACCGCTTAAAACGGTGCACGGCAATTGCCTCTGCAAATCAGAGTAATCCTACACCATATTCCACAAACGACAGTACATTCCGATAGTGACACAAATATATATACCACAGTATACTCCCATCTGTGTAAACCCCAATGTCGCAGTCACTGAAATGAGTGGGCAGATGGAATTCGTTGCTTCTCAATCCAATCATTATTGAACGAAGAAAGGCCACAATTCTTGAGCCCTTGCTTCATTAAATTGCCATAAACGCTCCCAGTATCAAATCCTGCATTCAATGGCTACCCACACGCACTTACTTCTCAATCCTCTGCCTGCTTGAGCCAGATATAAAGTGACAAGGCAGCTAATTAGGTTGAATGAGTTCAAACTTGTTCTTTTTGGAGTACGGAACCAAAAAAAAGTACCTGTAGAGATGACAGCGCGCAATAAAACCAAATTAGACCGGTCCAAACGACCAGATTCTGTACATAAAACCCATACTCCTTGAACAGTGTTACCATTAGGATTAGGATTTCGGGATAGTAACCACGATAAGAGACACCGCAACCTGAGATTATTGCAAACCCGGCGATTGATCTCCCAGGCGCAGACAAAATAAACTGCTCTGCGAACTAGAACCCATGGGGTATTTGGGCTCTCGGAAACAAGACACGGGGATATCCTCGTCCCAGGACTACACCTACTGATCGCACCCACGGGGAATTCTGATCCCGAGTGAGAAAAGTTCCAGAGGCCTCGGTCCCCAGAGAGACCAGAACCAGACTCCCAGGTTCCCCGGAGAGACCGAGACTTAAAAGTCCCAGGGCGGAAGAGACCAGACGGCAGGTCTCGTCGTGTCCCCCGGTGGAACCCGCCTGAACCACCCCGTCCAAAGGACTCGGCGCTTACCTCAATGAAACGGAGAGCACAAGAAGGCGTCGTCGGCGGCGGCCGCCTGCTGCTCGAGTACAAACTATGGAAGCTGACCGCCCTGCGGAGGCGCGAGATTTTATCGCTGTTGAGGACCGCGACACCGAGAGGATGCTTTGAGCTGACAACGCTGTTGCTGCTGGCTGCTGCTGCCCATGCGCCTGTCACACGCGGATCCCCGTCGCCATGTTATGCGGGTCCCGCGACGTCAGCGCGCGAAGGCGTTCAGGCTGGGCGAGCGTGATGACGCAACCACGCACGAGCTCCGGGGAAAGGAGGGGCGTGGTGACGTCGTCGCGTAAAAGCCGCCGTTTCACCTCCGCGCTCGGGGGTCTCCGGCTCTGGCGCGGTGACGTCAGCACGCCCCGCGCTCTGGCGCGGTGACGTCAGCACGCAACGCTCTTAGCGTGGTGTTACATGTTATTTATGTAGTTTGTTGTAAAAAATCGGTCACAAGTCCCTGTGATCACTGTTACGTTGCAATTATGGCTTTAGTTTTTTGGTGATTTGAAAAACGTTTTTTCGGTTTGGACATGTTTGTTTTGTTGTAGTACGGAGTTAGACTGATGGCTTTAATCTAAGTTTTTCTATTCCTGGTTCTTTCGGTTAAGTCACGTTGAAGGGAACCAATAAAATAAAATATATATATAAAACAATAAAATTATCACGACGTTTCGACTGCAACACAAAGAGTCATCATCAGGTGTGAAAACCAACGGCAAGAACATTTGAAGTGGCGGTTTGTATTTATTCATTTATTTTAAACGTTAGCACCACGGAGAGCGATTTGACAGTTTATTTAGATGGACGAGTCCAACTATGTTCGGAAAAGAGGAGGGGGGAGATGAAAAAATTAATGTATGCTGTCTGAAAGCCACCGTAAGCGTGAACAATCAATTAAGACCCGAAATGGTTTATCAAATCCTTCCAATGATTGCTAAGCCAGAATCCATCTTCTCGGTTGAAATTGTCTCTGTGTTTGTATATGTGGATAGCCTCATGAACGAATCTCTCATGGTAGCCAGATGTTTTGCAAAGAACCTCTGTCTTGGAGAAGTCAATGTCATGTGAGTCTTCTGAATTATAACAATGATCTGCCACGGCCGAGAGGTGTTGGTCCTACCGTGTTTTTCACGCCGCGCTCAGGCTCATGGCTCTTGCGTGGTTGCGTCACGACGCACCGCTCTTAGCGTGGTTGCGTCATCACGCTCGTCACCTTTAAACGCAGCGCTCGGGGTCCCGGCTCCGGCGCGGTGACGTCACCAGGCAGACCGCCACGCTCTCAACAGCGCGGTTAGAATTCCCACCGCGTGTAGGCGTCGCCCCGTGCCGTGCTCGTTCCTGATTGGGTCGCGAGGAGTAAACGCTTAAGCGTTCTAGGAAATGTGAAGCGACGAAACTAACTCATTAGTTAATGTTATCGCAGAAGATGATACACACCTGGTAACCCATGCCTATCTTATTACAGACCAATTGAGACCTTATTGGTCACCCCCGTGTCCTTATAAACCAAAATTTTCATTCTGCAAAGTCTCATCACAAGGGAGAAACGCAGACACATTTCTTTTGCCCGTATTAAAACGGCTGTACGCCGTGTGGACCTTAAAACTCAATTTCCCCGTACAATAATACGGGCTAAACCGTATGGGTTGACAGGTGTGATGGATGATACCGTTTTCAAAATGTGGTTGGTGTTACACTTCGAATATAAAAAAAAATCTTTACAATTCCCCATAGGCGTTTTTTGTCACGTAAACACCCATGCAAACAGTGGCTTTATTCACACGTGCACAATTCTAAATTGTACTGCCAATTTCCTTCCACGCAAGAGAGGCTAAACTGCACTGATGAACTTAAACAAGAGTGAAATCAGTATCATCAGTTAATGTACAGCCCTTTGTGTCCGTCCAGTACTCTCTACGCCATCAATACAGTTGTCAACTTTTATTGGCTTCAAATCAACTGATGATCTCTAATAATACTAATGAAGCTAATATTTACAAAATTATGCGGGGTAGCAAGGCTACATTGCACTCATGTTCTCTAATAAGAGCAAAGCCATCAGCATTTACACAGTTCTCATACAGAGCAGCATGGATACATTCCAATTTATGATCCCCCCCATAGGCCTATTGAAGCCAATAATTGCGTGTAATGCAGTTAATAAACCTGTAAATTATGAGAAAACCCAATCATCATGCCGGCATGAAACCCATATATTTCAAACAACACCCAGAAATGTACAAAAAACACAGCCTCTGTGCATAATTAAATCACCACCCATTTTGGTGACTCTACTTGCTGATGAGTCCTGATTAAGGCATAACCAGTCCAAAGTTGTCTATCACTGGTGCTTCTCATTTGCTCAAATATTTTTTGCAGGAAATGCTAATTGTTTTTGTATAATACAGAGGCTGTGTGCTTTTTACACATTTCTGTGTGTTGTTTCAAACTGATGGTAGTAATACAGTTGTCAGGCAAGGTAACAGGGTTGCGCTGCATTGATGATACCTACTATAATTATCACCCTGGAATGTCTGTCCTTAACGCTCGTGACGTCACGCCACATCGACCAGCTCCCCTCATTAATATTCATGAGCAGGTGACGTCCTCCAACTGGACACACCCCTCCATTCATAATAATTAGCGGGTGACGTCATTCCACATGGGGGGGCGAGGCGCCTCCTCCCCCCCTCCTCGGCGTCAACTCACAACCCTCACTACAAAGGCAGAACCCTCACGTCACGTGATCTCCGTGACGCTGTTGTTGAGACATCAAAGTAAAAAGGACGTCGTGATGAACAAGGGATTATGACCTTTAAATGAAGTAAGTCTGTGTCACCGCGCCCTTACAAATTGCACGCGAATTAATGCAATTAATATATCACGTCGCGATCTGCTTTTCGTTTGAAAGTTCCAGATTTACTGCAATACACCCGTCCTTGGACGGGCAAAAGGCTAGTCATAATGTGAAGCCATTATCATCCATAATAGAGGGTTTTTGGGGTTAGATCGCTTAAATATATATCACTTAAATAATCCATTTTAACACGTAGGCTTTCGCGACCAATAGCATCCAAAAAACCTCTATTATGGATAAATAATCCATTTAAGCAGGGTCACATTGTACTCCAATAATGACCTCTAATGAAAGTGAAATTGTGACCTATTTCTGAACAGGACAATAGTGAGAATGTAAAATGTCAATAGGTGAGCGCCAATTGTCAGGTTAAAGTAAACGTTTAAATAATAATTGTCAGTGACTGAAAATGTTCGATTCTAACTCCCACTGGGCTAGTTTTGTGCAATTGTAAAGTCAATGGAGTATTATGCTTTTCTCCACCATTGGAAAGTGGAATGTTACCCTATTTACATTATGATGATACTGGCTTCTGTTGATGCCATATAGTCGAAGGGCAGCTAATAGTTCACAGGAAGACGTTGTCTCCTTTTGTTGTTGATTTGCTTCAGATCTGATCCTTTCTCTCCATCTTGTATCTTTTACCCTTAATTTTTCGAATTTCTTTCACCTGTCTCTTCTAAATCTCCTATCGATATATCCTATTCTCTATCTCGCTTGTCTTTTGCTTCCTCGATTTTAACTGAGGGCTTCTACTCAATTATTGTGTGTGTTTATATCAATCGTTTGGACATTGTGATCTTCGGTTTTGCGCTATCCCTGTAACCATTGTTTAAAATATTTAAAAAAACAAATATAAAGTACTGTAGTCTACACTGCTGTATGTGGAATGCATTCACATGCTGTTTCTGTGATGGGACTTGTTTGATGATACTTCCCACTGCTCAGTGCAGGGTGGTGAACACTGCATATTGTTAAAAGCATTCCTGAAATGCAGTAGAATACCTTCTGAACTCCAATGGGCTGTTGATAATGAAAAAAACCCTTTATATTCTTACAGCTGGAATAAGCCATTGTAGCGCAACGCAAATTTATTATGATGGATTTTTTTTCTACAGTCATTGGTTATGGAGTTGAGAATATCAACTCACTACACTTGAGAAACCAATGTATTCAACTGAACCTCGGTTCTCAATCATGCCGGCTCGGTGATCTGAGCCCTGAGACACCGAACCACATACGACTGAAATGAAGGCCACAGTTAGATCAATTTAAACTAATTTATTTACAACTGTTTTTTGTGTCTAGTTTATTGGCCTTCCCCCGCACCTCCGATTAGCACGGTTGGCTACGTACGGTGCGAAAGAAGTTCAACATACAGTACATATATATAATTCACCCATAGGTCACTGTAAGATATCAGACTCTGTCTGTGTTTCGTTAATATCCAGCTTTTTTTTTCTTGCAGCCTGAGCGCCCAAGCAGACAACCTGTGATGCCACTGCACAGATGTCCATGCAAGGGGCAATGTCCCTGACGAGTCTCGTGTCATCTCACGCCACTCGTTCCCACCAATGTCACCCCACACCACACCACGCCCATGCACCCTTGCCCTGGCCACCCATAGTAAAACTTCCTTAAACACCCGCAGTTCAACATATCCTGTTTAGCAACGTCAAACCTAAGTGTGCACAAAATAATTCCGCCACGGTAATGTTTTTTTTGCAGGGGCCAGCCATTCTTTGAAGCACAAGGATGGTGTAAAGATTGATTCACTTATTTTCTGTCGTTGGAAATCACACTTTACAATGTAATGCTTAGACAACTGTTCACATGTCAATTCCAAATATAAAAAATACTATATGTCAACTTTCTTCAATCGTGTCTATCCTTTCGAATCACCGTTCTGTGAACTGCAATCTCCAGCTCGAAGCAAATTTGTGTGTTCTATTTTGGATCTGAATACATGTCATTGCTTGAAATGTTAACCTAATGTACTACAGTGTACGCTATTTATAAATTATTTAAAATAGCAGTGATGGTAGTGATTTTGAGCACTTTTCAATCGTACAATTAAACATTATTTGGTAATGCTTCATTGGTAGTGGCATACAATCACAAATAACACAACATTAATTCATCAATAACGCTGTGGCATTAAAAATTAAATATGCATCATATACCATAGGTTGTAATTACTGGCGAAACGTCGTACTCGAATTGTAAATGTTGTGGGTTTACTCTGCAACATACCGATGTGCTGTACTAAGAAGGAATTGGCACGTTTTGTTTACGTGACAAACCTTACTACATTGGCTGTGTCGGATGGTGGGGGGGTTTAACTACACGTTCATATTTCCACGATCTAACACCAAAATAACCTCTATCACGCTCCTCCTTC